GAGAAACTCATGTTTCTGTAGTATCACAAGTTTCCAAATTTGATTGAAATCTCAAAGCTGACTAAACAGGCCTATTTTATATGAGGTAATTAGTGACCAGATAGTTCAAATGGATTAAGTGCATCTGAAAGAGGTATTGTGTATTCACAGAACCACTACATTCAAGAGAGTTATAATAGGAATTACTTAATGAAGAAGTAAGAATATTTTTCTTAATTCAGTTACTGGATTAGTTTCTAGAGAGGCAAGACTATGGAAGGGGGAAATTGAGGAAATTCCAAGAGCTCAGGTACCAGATAATACTACTTAAACTAGGATTTTGAAATGGAGGACTGCACCTACTCATATAAAAAGGCCAGTAACCCCCTTAAATAAAGAAAGAAAGAAAGAAAAGAAATTAGGGAAAGAAAGTTAAAATGGATGGAACTTTGACATATCTCTAGGAATAAGTGATCTAGAATTAATGTTCACTCTTGAGGCTTTTGTGATTTGTGATTTTCCTTCTTTGTTTAGGGAGACCCACTACATTATCACACTGATTCCATTCCTGGTTTAGTATGTACCATGTAGTCTTGGCAGTTAATCTCATCCATTAAGAACTGAAATCCAGTGTTGTACTATCTAGCCAAATTATAGAGAAGAGCTAGCCTACAGACTTGTTTTAAATTAATGAACATGTACAACTATGATGACAGGAAACACATGAATAATGTGTTAAATAGAATGTATTTAAAATAGCTTGCACTAATAACTTTTAAAGGTATTTCAAACAATGAAAATTCATGAATTTTACCACTAAAAAGAAAGATATGAAATGTTAAAATTTACTGCAAAACTCTTGAATTTTCACCTGAAGACAAAGATCGTTTTTCTACAATATCAGTTTGTATCCCTAAAAAGAAGCACAGCCAAACCCACTGTCTCCGTGCTTTCTTCTCCCAATTTAAATTGTTGCTCAATCTAAGCGTTTTACATTTCACAGCACATAAGGGATGGATGACTCTACAGGTTCAGTGTCAGTGATTCTCCCGAGCCCAGAGGGCACCTCAGTAAAGTTCACTAGCAGGATTCCAGAGCTAATGTCTACTACAGGTCAAGTGGACTCCAGCTCATTCTGACTACTCACTTGTAAAGTCATCTCTTACCTTTCAATTACAGTACAAATCAACCTACCCATAGGATGGTAATAATTTATGAAGAAACAAGAACAAAATGAATTTCAAGGTCACATCACATATTTAAGATAGGTTTAGAAAGAAAAAAATTCTTTACTGCTCTATTAGAGTTGCCTTCAGAAATTATCTTTTTGCCATCATTTCTGTTAGTTTAAGAAAATTGAAACTTATTAAACTGTCAAAATCACATATCCATATTTTGCTTTCAAATTATTTAGATTCTATGGTTTTGTTGAAAAAACAACAGATTGAGGCAGTCTTTCTGAAACTTTAATTCAGTTTATTCTTATATGTGAAAGATTCTCATTCCTTATAAAAAAGAAAAACAACCGAGTTAGTAAGAGTGGGAAAACAAAAGACAAAGAGGAGAAAAAAGAACATGTGGCATTACTCACTAATGATGCCTGCTGGTAGTTCTACACACAATATTTGCACCCAATCCACATGAAATCTGTCTTGTTTTGAAAAAATCTTTCATTTGCTAAAATATGTGTTTTTTCATTATCAAATCATCACATAATTTCTTTGCTTGATTGAAAATTAAAATTTTGATTATTTAGATGAATTTGTAAAAAATGTATCTACATTCTGGCTATATGATATATACTGAACAAAATCTACACAAGCATAATCAACATATAATATAACAATTTTATATGCATTTAATGAAAGCAAACATAGGCCAAAAACCACATATTCTGCATTAGCGAATGATTAAATTGTATGTATGAATATATCACGTATTACATTGTTTTACTAAAGAATCTTTGCTAACTCCAGAGCACTCATACATGTGAAGGTGAGTTGGAATCAGAGGAAGAAAGAATACACATAGAAATAGTAAATACTGCTTGAAGGATGAAAAAGGAACATAAATTCAACACAATTATTTAAAATATGGAAAAACATTGGATTTACAATTTTTGCTTGCAAAACAGATGGATTTGAGATGAGCTCTGTGCAAATGTGCATGTTCTTACCACTAGTACTGAGAAAGTTAGAAAAGGTTAAGGTGTCAAGGATTGCGCTGTGTGTACTTAAGCCTGCTATTGTTCCAGTGATACCTAACAAGACTGGGCTTCTCTCACTTTCTGTTTACTCCTTTCAAAAGCGTATGCACTGCCATTCTTCTTTTGTGATGGGGTACATTTTTCTTCACAGGAAATGGAAGACTTTGTGCAGAGCTCTGGAGAACACGGTATTGTGGTGTTTTCTCTAGGGTCAATGGTCCAAAACGTAACAGAAGAGAGGGCCAATGTGATTGCTTCAGCACTTGCTCAGCTTCCTCAAAAGGTTAGCTAAAGTGCCTTAACACTGCACAGACACACACTTAATCTGCTAAATTCTATCAAGGATCCAAATGCTAAAACTCCTATGTGAAAATTAAAATTATAGTTGGAATTTAACTTAGCCAGTTTAAACCAAGCTATCAATGGCATATGTTAATAAAAGAGGGAGGGTCTAGCTCATAATAATGTTGATGTTAACATTTTCACTGGAAGGAAATATAGTTAACAGGATAAACTGTGAACTTGTGTTACCATGACATTGTTTGCAGTAATTCAGAAATAACTGAGTACTGTGTTGCCCCTTGTCTTTCTTTTGGGCATGGTTTTTCAGGCATTGTACATACTCAGATGTTTCAGGCAGGTGTTAAAGCTGAGTTACCAACCTCCCTAGCACAAACTAATATGCAGATATTTAAAAGAAGCTGAATATCATCATACAATTTCAGATGAATGTGGAAACCTGGCCTCATAATTTATCATACTTTGGAATCAGACTATTAACTGTGTTGTTTAGGGTAGAATTTTGAGAATGTTGCTAGAGTTTGTCAATTCTAAATAGAAGGGCAATGCAGATCCCCAATTTTAGAGAGAAAGAGAGAAATGGCAATCTTGCCTCCTGATCTGGAGCCTGCTAACATCTAAAAGAGGAAGAGGCAAGAGGGTGGAAAGGGGCCAGGCTTTTCTAGTTAACTCAGGGCATCAATAAAATATGTCTCCCAAGGACACTGCTTGCTATGAACCAGAATGAAACTTCCAGGGAATTGAACAAGGAGAAATATAGTAAAAAATACTCAAGCTTTATCCAGCCTGGAATAGGAAGAGGTTCTGTACCTCTCTCCTGAATATATGTGAGGCACTAGTTTTGTGTTACACATAATAGAAATTTCACTGTTAAATATTTATGAACTACCCTTACATTTTCTATAGCTGTATTGTTTGTGTTATCTGTATTGAAGAGTATAATATAAGAAGCAGAAGTTATCCCTTACAGTCTCATAGTAAATAGAAATACTGCATTAATAAATGATGTTTCATTACATGTAGGTGACTTGAGTATTTCTGAATATGACATTACCCTAAGATTAGGAATGGAAGTGCTTGTCTGGGATAAATCATGTTTTCCATACTATGAATATACAACATGGTCCATTTTGGCAAAATAAACATTTGAAGAAAACGTAGAGTCTTCCAATTTTGCAAGTTTTCAACAGCCGTAAAGAACTTCCCATCCTAGCACTAATGATGATACTCTGAGTTGATGAAGAAGCAGCCATTGAAAACTTCCAGGAAGAAACAGTACTTTTTTGTGACTTATAGCACTTTTTATGTAAGACATTTTTGAACCTTTTATTGATTTCTCACCAATGGCTGATTAAAAGGAAGTTTGGTAAATAAACAAAGGTCAAACTCTAATAAAGTAATAGGTAGAATAAACAAGTTATCTCTAATAACATTAAAATACAAAAGGTAATAGCATATTTGTAACCTACATTTTGTACAAGGACTTTAATCTTAAAATTCATTACTCTATGGTAGAAGGATGACTACATAGCAGTTTCTTAAATATAGTATGTTTCATTCATTATCTCATTTGTTAGTCATTGTATAAAACTCATGACTGCACTTGCCCAAAGTAGCATGAAACTACAGAGACAATAGGTCTATATTGCACTTTTTCTTGTCTTTTCCACATTAACTTTTGGGCTTTTTTTGTTGTTGTTTTATTTTAAAGGGAATTTTAAGAAAAACAATAGCAAAATGCTACCAACACAGACAAAATCAAAAAGAGTGATTTAACTTTTCTTGATCTCATTTCCTCAGCTAATGCATACATAATTGTATGGACCATATTTAACCCAAACTAATTCAAGTGCAGGTATACACTGAGTTCAATTTTGACAAGTACAGTGAAATATTTCCTTAATCTATTTAGGTTATTTGGAGATATAATGGCACAAAACCTGATACTTTACAACCCAATACTCAACTGTATGACTGGATCCCCCAGAATGACCTTCTTGGTAAGGTTCTAAAGCACAAACACTATAGACGTGATGCTTAATCCGCTTCATGATACTTCAATATAAAAGAAAAAACATTCTCACCATTTATTACTGCAAAGTTCAAAATTAAATCAAAAGCTTTTGTATTCTTTTCATAGTATGATGAGAATTAAATCAGAATAGTTTGCATTTGATTATCCCCTCTCCTCTGTATGGTCAGAAATAACCTTTGCTTAGTGGCAGTTACCACACATTGGGAATTTTGAATTAATTGAGTTGTATCTCTGACCTGCAGTTCAACAAACAAACTTGCATGTGCCTCTAAAATAGGGCTCCTCCAAGGTCAGTGTTGAGTAATTCACAATGACTATATTTTGTAAGAAAAAAAATACACAGTTTATTATAAAGTAATAACACATTTGCTCACATTTCAGTTACTCCTCTTAGAGCTTTGAACAATCTTCACATCAGACTTACTGAAATTGCTACATGTTTTTAAAGGAATAAAGTTTCTGGCATGCACAAGGTCGTCTTTATCACTTGCTTTATTTTCTTCATTAGAATTTCTTTTTATCCTACTATCAGGTACCTGTTGTTGAACTTTCAAGTCACACATATCTCTGCCATTAAATTTTCAACTACCAGCAAGTAGATTTTGGTATTTTTTGTTCTGAGGTGCAAAGCAACCTAAGATCCCTTAAAAAATCATCAATAGCTATTTCATAAAATATATTTCTTCTCTTATCACCTCCTGACATTTCTCATATTTTGTTTAATATTTATACTGAATAACATGACTGAAATTCTCCTAATTCCAGGTCATCCAAAAACCAAAGCTTTTGTAACTCATGGAGGAGCCAATGGTGTCTACGATGCCATCAACCACGGGGTCCCTATGGTGGGCATTCCTTTGCTTGGGGACCAACATGATAACATAGCTCACATGGAAGCCAAAGGAGCAGCTGTTGCATTGGATTTCCAGACAATGTCAACTACAGATTTGGTCAATGCACTGAAGGAAGTCATGAACAACCCTTCGTGAGTATTATGCATTTTGTGCATAAGATTTTATGTAAATTCTGAAGAAAGGAGAAGGGCTCAGGGAGATTCTGAATAGCAAGATGTTCATGAATAGAAGGTTTTACTTAGCCCCTCATGAAAATCATTGACAGACATTTATGACCTTCATGATGTTTTGTTCAAGATTTTTTGGGAAAGTTCGTCTGAGATTTAAGCATAATGCTAATAACTTCAAGGAGAGTAATGAAAGCAGAAAAACAAGGCTTATTTTGAAACACTAGAAAATTATTCCAACAGAAAAATAAATATGTCAACAGGTTAAATTTTAATGCACTTAAGGGTTACATTCACCAGGCTACTTTAAACTTACCTTTTAGTTTATTATGACATGTGACATGATGATGTGGATATATACAGAGACAAAGCACTTTCTGTATGATAGCAAGTTAACACATCCATTATCTCCATACTTATTTCAAACTATTCCAAAAGGGATTCTGTTCCTTAAACAAAAACACATAAATCATATTAAAATCCCACTATACTTAACCCTTCCCTAGTGACTTTACTTAACATTGTGATGTCATTATACTAGCTTTTTAAATATATTTTATAATGTCTTCATTAGTTTATCATATTATATTGAAATGATATCAAGTTTTGAGAACTTTCTGAAAAACACAGCCCTCCACTGCTATTAAAAAGTGAGGGCTAGGGGGTAGCTCAGCAACAAAAGTGCTTCCCTTTCAAATCTGAGGTAATGAGTTTGATTCCCAGTACCAGAAAAAAAAAAAAAAGAAAAAAGAAAAAGAAAAGAAAAGAAAAATCTGCCTCCATTGCTATTGCTCCTATGTAATGCTCTACAACTTTGCTTTTTATACTTGGTAAATTCATTCCATATTCTACTCTGTTTTGTATTACAGTCATTCCAACAATAATAAGAAAGGTAACTGTGACACCATTTGAAAGTTTTAGACCAATTCTCATAATCTCAAAGCACAACAGTAACACAATAAATATCAAAAGTAAGGACTGCAAACCTTTACAGAGGTATCAGCACATGAAAAAATCCTCCAAAGAACTGCAAACATCAGCATAATACTCTTCACAATATTCAGAGAACAGAGCCACTATGGTTTTTGTGTGCATTTAGGAAGAAAAAGTGAGACATTTATAAAAAGAACAAGAAAAAGCTGTCAAGATAAGGATTAAAAGGAGGCAGTCTTCTTTGTAGTGTTCATCACTAATCCAGTATTAAAACTATCACTGGATTCTTGTCATTACTACCTCATGGTTCGTATTCAGCAGATATTTCCTCGGTCCTTCCATGCACTTGCCTTCCTGCAGCAGGTTGTGGTATCTACTGGAATGTGTTCAAACTGTCCTTTGACATTTGATTACTCCACGCTGATCTCTAAATCCTAAAAGTACAGCTTTGTTCATACTGTTTCAACTGTAATTTAACACATTCCTGTTATTTTCCTAAAAATAATAGTTCTCTCCTAGTTTTCTTCCACATATTTTTAATCTTACATGTTCAAAAAGTTCAAGATCCTAACATCTGTAACATTTCAGTGAAGAAAAGTATGGACAAGATTTCTTTCAATTTTATCAAGCCTACATATATTTATCTACAAACAGTATGCATTTATTTTTTCATTCCATGTTAAAGTTGATGTCTCCTGAATTTTCTTAGCTTTAAACAGAATGCCATGCTGTTATCGACCATTCACCATGACCAGCCGATGAAGCCCCTGGACCGAGCAGTCTTCTGGATCGAGTTTGTCATGCGCCACAAAGGGGCCAAGCACCTGAGGCCACTCGCCCAGAACCTCACCTGGTACCAGTATCACTCTTTGGATGTGATTGGCTTCCTGCTGACTTGTGTGGTGACCGTCACTTTCCTTGTCACAAAATGTTGCTTGTTTTGCTATCGCAAGATTGTTAAGATAGGAAAGAAGAAGAAAGAGTAGAGCTGATTGAGCATTACAAGTGGTAGGCATGCAGGGCCAGTCTATTATATTTGAATTTACCACTTAAGATCAAGGTGTAGGGAGATAGTCCTCAATGTTTTACAAGACCTTTACCTTCCTAATTTGCTATGTATTTTGTTTCAGTGAAACATTGAAGAATGTTCAATTCTAATTTCATAATTACTGAAAAAATTCCAATTTGGTGTTTGCTTATGCTGTTCATCATACCTTTTAAAAATTCACAATTATTGAAACCTCTGTTTCAAAAGAACAGTAGGAATAAAATTTTATTTGCATTTTCAGAAATAGTGTTTCTTTGAATAAAATGATAACAAATGCACTATTTTCAGTCTGTAAATAAAAGCACAATGAAAGCATTTAAAGGTGACAAGATCTATTCAGATTCTGAAGTGGAAGCCAGAAACTTCAGTTTCAACTCAGGTCAAATTGTCCTCAGGCCAATGTGACTGAATTCTTTGTAAAACTTAAAAGAGGCCATGGGGCCAGTGTTGATGTCCTCATGGTCTAGGAAAGTTGGCAGGATTATCTGGAGTACGACACCAACCTGGGCCACTATGTGAGACTCTGTCTTAGAGAAAGAAAGGGCAAGAAGAAAATGTAAGATATTAATGTATGGGCACCAAATACCCAAAATGAAGATAAAAGATTTGTCTTCAACAAAAGTGAAGAATAAGAAGAAAAAGAAGAAGAAAATGGGGTAAGGCCATTTAGAGACAGAGAAAGAAGATGAGTGAGAAGGTAGAAGGAGGTTAGTAAACAAAACAAGCTGTGGCATATATGTGGACCTACTCCCCAAGGTGAAACTAAATGCATGTACTACAAACATGTACTAAGAAAATTAAAACTGAACAAAGAAAAAGTGCAGAAGATGTAGCTCAGTGGTAGAGTATCTAAAATATGCATGACCTTATATTCAATTTCTGGCTGTAATTGTGTAACTTTGTGATATCGTTGTGTAGAAAAGAAGGTGTCTTCTACACAACCTTAAATATTCACAAGTTAACATTCTGTACTTAGTAATTCTAAGAAATTTTGCATGAAAATGAAAATAAATGTTTGTAACTTTGAAAATGTACATAATAATTTGTATGGGTTGTTAAATTTTACTTTTCCAAAAACTGTTAGAATCATTGATTACACAGTATGATTGGGATAATTACTACCACTATCTAAACTTTTTTATAGTGCTTAAGAGTGTACGTTTCATATAATGTACATTTTAAATTTTTAATAATATTGATTATCATACATTGGCATTTTGTGGAAATCTAGTCAATGATGTTTAGTGTGCTGTTGCTCTTTTATGATGGAGCAGAACCTTCCTTCTTAGAAAATGGAAGACTTTGTGCAGAGCTGTGGAAGAAGTGGTGCTGTAGTGGCGTTTTCAGGGTTCACTGTTCAGAAACCCAATAGAAGAAAATGCCACTGTGACTGTTTCAGCCCTTTCTCAGAGCCCAGGAAAGGTCGTAGAAACTGTCTTAAAGGTGAGCAAATGCTGACTGCGTTTCCTTAACTGATAAGGGTCTGATTATAGGTATGTATCCTTTGAGAGGCAAACTACTATGACAGCAGTAATTTATCTCAGGTAAAAATCAATGAGTACACATAACAGATGACAAAAGCACAGATATACTTTTCATTTATGGTAACACTGGTGTGAATACTGCAATTACAAAGAAATATATTTAACGAGCATGTTTTACATTTTGGCTTTACTGTTTTACTGTTAGCAATAAAACCCGGAAATAATACAGTTTTGCCCGTCTTTTGCTTCATTTGCTTGTGAGATTGTTGAGTACTTCAGGCACGAACAATATTTCAAACAGCATTAAAATCTATTAATAAATGAACCAGTTCAATAACATAAAGAATGTACCAAACAAGTTTGAAGTTTCTCCTGCACTTCAGCCTCCCTATGATTATAAAAGTGGAAAAAGGAGGAGGGCCATGGAGTACTGTTCCTGATCTGCTTCTTCCATTCCTGCTACTATGGCCAAGGAGTGGTGAGGTCGGCCAGGATGGGCTGCCCAGATGACCAAGGCAGTTGGACCAAGGGGGCTGCAGTAACCCATGCCTGAAGCATGGCTTGTACCCGGGACATGTTTGGAAGAAAAAACCAGCTTCCCTACTGTGCACATGAAACTGCCTAGTCCACATGGGGAAACTGTAGGACTCTCGGTGAGACTTGAGCTAGAGTGTAAAGGGAGCGGCAGGGATGCCGTGGGTTAATGCTCTAAAGATTTGGGAAGTTTTTATTTGAATTTGCATTTCTATTTTCATCGTAGTTGTTCATATTTCCTTCTTTGATTAGGTACAGTTGAGTGTTTTCTACAGGTCTGTTTTCATCTTTTTTTTTTTTTTTTTTTTTTTTTGGTTTTTCTCCGGTACCGGGAACTGAACTCATGACCTTGCGCTTGCCAGGCAGGTGCTTTTGCCGCTGAGCTAAATCCCCAGCCCCTTGTTTTCATTTTTATATCATTCTTTTACTTCTTGGTTCTTGCTTCTTCATTGACATAATTTTCTTCATAAACGTTGTACTTGAAAGTTTACCCCTCTCACAGGTTAACTCTTTTAGTAGTTCTTTCCAGGTTTTTGAATTTATTCTCTTTTATACACCTTTCTTTGCTCTTGTCTTCTCTCCCATTGCAGCCTGCTTAGGCTTAACTAGAACAGGGATGCATTCATGTACATTGAAGAATAATAAGTGGTGACACAATTTAAAATGTTCAAGAGAATGACAATGTAACTTTAAATAATATTTGACATAGATGTTTAATGCAAAGCTATCTACACATATTTTAACTGTTCACACTAAGCTATTATCCTCCTTACATTTTCAAAACCACTTTCATGCCTCTGTTTACCTCCACCTGCCTACAAAATAACAATATCAAACTCCATCAACAAAAGTCCTTTACTTCACCTATGCATAAATTCCAACAAGTTTACTGCTCTTTACCTACTGATATTTTCCTTACCTCTTTCACATCAAAATTTCTTCTGCTTTGTCCTTATCACCACCTGCCTCATTAAAGATGCACCACAAATACCAGCACATTTTATGTTATTCTCATATGATTAAAATTATAAAAATGAATTTCAATATTTATCTTTAACTTAGGGCTAGATTTATTAATGGATACTGAAATGAATGAATTCAACCCTTGATTCACTGAACTAATAAATACAATTGATGGACCTCTACTCAATCTTATAATAAAAAGAAAGAAAATACTCAAATTTATGCAGTAATGAATGAAAAGGGTGAAATCACTAGAGCTTCTGTGGAAATTCAGAAGATCATCAATATCTATTTAAAAATCCTTGCTCTCATAGTATGGATAACACAGAAAAAATAGACGGAATCCTAGCAATGCAAGAATTAACAAAGCTGAATCAAGAAGATATAAAAATTCTGAATAACCCAACATCAAGTAATAAAGTGGACAATGTACTTAAAAACTTCCCAGCAAAGCAAAGCCCTGGTCCGGATGGATTCCCAGCTAACTTCTACAAGAAATTTAGAGAAGATTTATTGCCAATACTCCTCAAACTTCTTAATGAAATTGAAAGGGAAGCAAGTCTCTCTAACTCTTTCCTGGAGGAAAGTATTACCCTCAGAGCAAAGCAGAGAAACACCCAAACAAAAGGAAGACTACAGGCTCCCTAAAGAACATGGATGCAAAAATCCTCAATAAAATACTAGCAAACACAATGCAGCAAATCGTCAAGAATATTACATACCATGATAAAGGGGGCATCAACCCAGGAATGTAAGAATAGTTCAATATATGCAAATGAATAAATGTAATACATTGCATCAACAGAAACAAAGACAAACAACATGCTCATTTCAATAAATGAAGAAAAAGGTCTTGATAAAGTTCAACACTCATTCACAATTAGCACCCTAGAGAAAATTTCAATAGATGGTCTTTACCTCAATGGGATAAAAGCCACCTATGACAAATCAACAGCCAGCATCTTACTAAATGAATAAAAACTGAAAACTTTCCATCTAAAATCAGGAACAAGACAAGGATTTCCAGTATCACCACTCCCTTTTAATATACTGCCAGAAACATTATCCAGAGAAATTAGACAAGAGAGACAAAAAAAGGAATAAAAATAGGAAACAAAATGTTAAGTCACCACTATTCACAGATGATATGATGCTCTACAGAGACCCGGAAACCTCCACCAAAAACTTATAGATTTAATAACAAAATTCAGTGGTATAGCTGGAAACAAAGTCAACAATCAAAATTCAATAACATTCTTGCACAAAACAACAAACTCACTGAGAGAAATTAGGGAAATCATACTTTTCATAAAACCATCCAAAAATGAAATAACTAGCAATCAATCTGACAAAGGAAGTAAATACCTATATATTGAAAATTACTTTACTCTGAAATACTACATGAAAATTGTTTTAAAAAATGGAAATGTATTCCTTGCTAATGGATAGGAAGAACCAACAATGGAAAGTAGTCATACGCTCAAAACAGTGAATCAAATATCTAAACATTAAACTAGAAACTGTAAATTTACTAGAAAGGAAACTAGATAAAAATTTGAAAACATATGTGTAGGCAGAGAGTTCATTAATAAAAACCAAACTGCACAGGAAATATTTCAAAGAATCAACAACTGTGATATCATCTTATTAAAAACCTTTTGCATAATAAATCATCAACAAAGTGAAAGGAAAATCTACAAATTGGGAAAAATATTATTCAACTGTCCCTCAGAACAAGAACTGCTATCTAGAACATATAAAGAATTTTTAAAAATCAGGTCAACATGCAAAGGTACAAGACAAAACTGGGCCTCTGAGATGAATACACACCTCTCAGATGAAGGAATAGAAGTGGCAAATAAATATGTGAAACACTGTTCAACATCATTATTCAGGCAAGAAATGCAAATTAAAATAACACTGAGAGTCCATCTCACACCAGAAAAAGTGGCTATCA